GCCACCTCAGACTCTCACCCTTAAACCCATTCGCCCCAGGAAGTACCCCAACCGTCCCAGCAAAACCCCCGTTCATGAACGGCCGCACGCCTGTCCTGCTGAGAACTGTGACAGACGCTTCTCGCGCTCAGACGATCTCACTCGTCACCTCCGCATCCACACAGGTCACAAGCCCTTCCAGTGCAGAATATGCATGAGGTCCTTCAGCCGGAGCGACCATTTGACCACACACATCCGCACGCACACGGGTGAGAAACCCTTCTCCTGCGAGTTTTGTGGACGCAAGTTTGCCAGGAGTGACGAGCGAAAGAGACACGCAAAGGTTCACCTGAAACAGAAGGACAAGAAGCAGGCGGACAAGAACAGCGGGGCGGCCGGGAGCCACAGCTCACCGCCCAGCTCCTGTGGGGGCCCGGCGGTGGGAGCATCATGACCATCACTACATGCACATGGACTAGACCCTAGCCAGAGACCATACAGAGACTTTGGAAGTAAGGATCACATACACTTTGAATAAAATAGGTGATTCTCTACCTTGTTTACACTCCGGCTCCTTTCAGTTCCTTCTTTTTTGAGATGGAAGTCTTTAGTTTAAGTTAGAGAGGAAGGGCTGCTTTCCTCTTTTTTTTTTTTAAAGCAATTCAGAGCCTCAGCTACTGTAACATAGTGTAAACACAGAGATGGGCACCTCAGCACGTTCTGCCACAGAGGTCTTGGTGTATCACTAGGTTCTGAGGTGGATATGTCATTTTTACAGAAACTGTTTTCATTGAAAGAAAGCCAGAATGCATGAGAAAGGCTGAAGCTGATGAACGGAGCTCAGTAAGAAGGTGTATTGTCTGGGATGTATGCATTAATTTCATTAGGCTGTTTAAAAGTGCAATTGGTTATATTTGTGAATCGTCATGATTTTCCTAATGGTGGCACGTGACTGTATTTTTTGTTATTTTTGTTAAGGTGTAACGTGTTTTTTTTTTTTTTTAAATATATTTGAATGTTTCCTTTTTTTGGGGGTCGTTTTATGATTATTATTTTCAAAGAATGTGCCAAATGTATTGCAGTGATGCAGCCAACGTTGTTCCTTATAATTGTTCCTGACATTTGCCAAACCAAGTGTGGCATCGGTTTAGCACAGCTGTGGAAACAATGGTAAGATCAGACTCCAAACACCAGATGAACCAGCACAGTTCGTTTGAATCTAGATCGTTGCAGAGTAGGTCAAATGAAGCAAAGCCAATGTCTTGTCCTGTTACATGCACAGACATGTCTACAGCAACTGATGCCTTTGCCAATACTTAATTTATTTTTAGTCACTGTGAGACACCATGCGTGTCGTTTTTTTTATTTTAAAAATGTTTGACGTTGTGTTACCAAATGTACTTTTAGTTGCTCTTTTGTTTTTATATAAATGCTCAATGATATTCTTTATTTTCCATGACTTCTGCAATATGCAATTAAGTACAGACATATGCCACTTGCAAATGAAATTAACAAAAAGCATGGTTACAGACAGAATGAACAATTTATCAAAGAACACTTGGTTGTCCATAAGCAGTAATATAGAGAGAAGATGAATATGGTCCTTTGCATGTCTTCTCATATTATTATCAAAACAACTAAGAGATGAACAGAAAATTGTAAGAGATTAATAGTAATAAAAAAAAAACAAATCCATGTTTACATATTTCTTATTCTGAGACAAGACTGCAAAATGTATGTGTTCTTCTTTTTGTACAGTATACAAATATGTATGCAGGTAGCTACAGTAGAAGTTTCACCTTTTGTACTAAAATGTCAAATGCACCACAGTTCAGTATTAAATTGTGCATAAATGTGCATCCCTTAATGCACATGATGTAAATACAAACTTCTGCATAAACAAGAACTCTTAATTGATTGAATGTTTACGTGGAAAGTGTCTTTAAGCTTTCAGAAAAACAAAATATTCTTTTGTTAAAATGTTTTAAGGTCCCTTCAGTAGTACCAAATATGTTGTTCCATCTTTTACTAAAGAAAAAAACAAAAAGTCACAAACAACAAAAGGATAGCACCATCTGTACGATTTACAGTGTAGACCAGTTAAACAGCACTAATGTGTTCTTTGAATGAACTCCATTTTTTTATTTGGTGTATTTCCATTAAAAGAAAAATTAGTTATTATAATTACCACAGCCTCTTAGCTGTATAAAAAAAAATACTGGTTATTAGTGATTGTTTTTTTAATGACTGAAGCTATTCATAAACAAAATACATAACACATCATGCAAATAAGTTTCCACAAATTAAATCACTTACTTTATTCATTTTACACTCAGATCATTTCCATCTTTTAGCAAAACATTTTGTTCGGGCCATCGATGGTTTTGCTTGGATCCAAGAACACTGCCACAGAGGAATAACATTGAAGATCGTATTACAGGCTTATTGCCAGACAGTGAAAGGCATTTGTCTTTAGGCATTTTTTTTACCCTATTAAGTGGTAATAAAAAATAGTGAA